TAATATATTCATTTGAATATTTTGGAATACAACCAAAGCATGAAGGCTTAAGGTAATAAATTCTTTTGGCCAAATTTAATGAGTCACAACAGCCAATTTTATATATAAAGTACAGGTGCTTTTCAGGATATTTTTATTTTTAAAGTTATTTATTACCCAGGTTTTTTTGTTCCCAGCTGCATAATCGCTTCTCTCTCAATTTAACCAGAAAAGACGTCTACAGTTTACCAAAAAAGCTACAAAATATAAAATAAAAAACAAAAAATCAGCCATTATTTAGTATATCCCAGAAAGAGTAAAGTTTATAGCAGTGGGTACTATTTTAAATGGAATATAATCAAACTGCAACTTTTAAAAAAGGAGAGATGAGGACAGTGAAGGGGCCAGTCATGTAATATGAAGAACTAAAGATGCTGAGGATAGTGGGGAAGGGACCATGATTAATCCAAAGAAACTTTCTATAGCTCTACAGCAGATCAATGGATAGAAGTAACAGAGAGGCAGATTCTGGCTTAAAATTTTTACCAAATCATTTCTAGAGGTTTATTACAGATACTGAAAATACTAAAAAGCACATTTTAATAGTAAAAGCAAAAGTCTTAGCCCTACTGTGTAAATGGTGCCATCAACCCACCAAGAAGAAGAGGAGAAAGAATGATAAAGAAGGTAGCAGGCTACCTTTCCAGTACACTGCAGGTGCTGTCCTGGCACGGAGAGGGAGGTCACAAACATGGTAAAGCAGCGAAGCAAGAATACAGTGCCCATCAGACTACAGAGCCTTCGCAGAAGTATTGACCTGTGGACAGAGCGACCAAAAAGGGAGAAAGATCAGAAGAAAACAAACCAAAATAACCCAGACTTCAAATGTTCCTTTAAAGGGAGAGTAAGCAGGAATACCGCTAGACTCTTGGAAGAGGACAGAAATCTTAGAGACTATCATTGTCCAGTAGAACTTTCTGCAATGATGAAAATGTTCTACAACTGCACTGTCCAACATTTGAAATGTGATTAGTACAAGTGAGGAACTGAATATTAATTTTATTTCATTTTCACTGATTTAAATTCAAATGGTCACACGTGGCTACCACCTGCTATGTTGGACAGTGCAGACCTAAGAGCATCATTTCATTGATAAGAATATATGGCTAAGAGAAAGCAAAAGAGTTATATAAAAGAGAAGACTAGTACCTAGCTTGACTCAGCTTGGTGTTAGTCCTATTACTCATATATTGCTCATAAATTATTTACTTAATGAGAGGTAAAGTTGAATACGTGGTTCTAAGGAATTTTTTTGCTCATTAATAGCATTGTAAATTTGTTAATGATAGTAGCTATCTATTAAACATTATCTTCCCTAACTTAAACTTAGCTATCAGCTGACTCAGTGGTTGAGCATTGACCTATGAACCAGGAGGTCACGGTTCAATTCCCCATCGGGGCACATGCCTGGGTTGCTGGTTCAGTCCCCTGTGTGGGGTGTGTAGGAGGCAGCCAAACAATAATTCTCTCTCATCATTGATGTTTCTATCTCTCTCTCCCTCTCCCATTCCTCTCTGAAATCAATAAAGATATATTTGAAAAAAAATACTGTTTTTTTAAAATACTAAGTTTTACATTATGTCTATCTCTAACAAAAAATTTAAAGTGCATTGTCACACCACTTGTCTGTTATATTATTGTTTTTAAATGTCTTAAAACCAAATCAGAGTATAAGATACTTAAATTCAGGGACTATGCTATACATGTTTTCAAAATGCTACTCCCATCCTAAAAAACAAACACACACTGAACATAAGGTTAGGAATGTTTTAAACTTCAGTGTGTATACCTGGGATGGAGCCTAGGATTCTGCATTCTAACAAGAGCTCAGGTGATTCTAGTGAAAGTGGCACAAAGACATTTGAGAAACACTTTCTTTGATGATGAAACATCAAAATTTGCATTTAACTGTCCACTGCTATGCTTTGTTAAATCTACAAAGGCTTCCTATAAAGTAAACTCTTGTTTTGAAGAGTTGATCAAATTAAAATCTACAGGGTCTTAGAAGACAAAGCTAAACCAGAGAGCAGCAGGGATACACATGTTTTTAAACCACCTCTGGTTTTAAGCAATATTGCTACAAAACAGGAGAAAATGAGGTGCAATATGGCCTAAAAGTGTCACATGAATAGCAATCATCAACCTGTCTTTTCACCTTCAAAGCACTGAAATACTAGTAATCGCTGCTTAGGGCCTAATGCCCATCACTGTGCTTTCCCGCAAGCACTCCCCGGTGAGAAGAAAGGAGCAAACATTCAGGAAAGTGTTGCTATTCCTCTTCAGTGTCCAAAGACAATGAGTAAGATATCCACAACTTCCTGGTTCTTTAATTTTTTCTTCACTATGCCTTATTTTTTACTTAAATCAAGTAATTTCCCCTCATAAGGTAGGATAGGAGCCTCCCTTTATCCTTCTCTTCTTTTTCTAATGAGAAAAAAATTTTTTCGCTTTATGTTTCTTGGTGAAAGTGCCAAAGAAGCACTTTCCCTATTCAGCAATTTCCTCTACCATCTAAAGTACACCACACTGACTAGGCATGCACAGTATGTGCAAAATAATCTCTTTTTTCATAGGCCTCCTCCAAACAGAGAACCATTTCTTCCACTCAAACTTCTTAGAGGAGTTTCTATCCTACAGAAAGTGACATTTTTTATTTGTTTCCAAAGAAAGATAATGGCTAGATTGTCAATGGTTGGCCCATATCTGAACATCACTATTTCTGTTCTTTCCCTATAAAATACATTCAGAATATTACTAAATGTGTAGGTATTACCTCTGGCTGACTCCTTTGTTGATCAAAACCAAAACATTTTCCTATGTCAATAACTATAATGTCACAATGACTACAGAAGGAAATTAATAAGGAAACTGCAAAGGGAGAAACTGGTTTGATGACTTTTACACAAGACAGTCAGAACACTTTCAGTGTTTTAATGAAGTGAAGTACCTGTGTTTGTGAAGAAGAAGAACCAGGATCCAAATATAGCACAGAATCATGCCACATACTTCTGTCATGGCAAAGGCCCATGGGATTCTAGGAACGCTAGAACAGAAAAAGTTAATTTTGGGCTTAAGTATATGCTCATAAATGACACCACTATTTTCAATATGATATTGTTCTAATAATGACCTTAAAATTGCTTTCTATAACTTTTATCTCTTTCAGGAGATGATATTTGGAGAACCTGGGTGGGGAAACTATTTCATAAAGTACCCCACTTACCAGAACCTCTTTGTTGTCTGTGATTCCAGGCATGTTTCTCTGTTAAGAAGTAACAACCCTGCGCTAGCTGGTTTGGCTCAGTGGATAGAGCACTGGCCTGCGGACTGGAGGGTCCCAGGTTCGATTACTAGTCAGGGGCACATGCCTGGGTTACAGGCTCAATCCCCAGTAGGGGGCGTGCAGGGCGTGCAACAATTCTATCTCATCATTTATGTTTTTATCCCTCTCTCCCTCTCCTTTCCTCTCTGAAATACACACACACACACACACACACACACACACACACACTCTAGAGGCCCAATGCACGAAATTCGTGCAAGGGGCTCAGCCCTTGCAGCCCCGGATGGTTGTTCTGCTGTTCACCCTAATTAGTATATTAGCTCTTTATCATATAGAATGGATAGATAGATAGATATAGATATAAATATAGATATATAGATATGAAGTAACAACCCTAACAATCCTTGCCCTGGCCTGTGTGGCTCAGTTGGTTGGAGCACTGTCCCAGACACCAAAAGATCATGGGTTCAATTCCTGGCCAGGGCACATCCCTATGTTGCAGGTTCAGTTCCCAGTTGGGGTGGATATGAGCAATAACCAATCAATGTTTCTCTCTCACATCGATGTTTTCCTCTCTCTTCAAATCAATAAACATATCCTCAGGTGAGGATTAAAAAAAAGAAGCAGCAACAAATCTTTCCTCCCTCCTTATAGCATCGTAGACCTGGATATAGGGCTGCCCACAAAAGACAATGGGATATAGGCTCACTCTTTGCATGATGGTCTCATTTTAGAATCCAGACAAGCAGGGCTTGTCCTTGACTCCTCGTTTTATTTAGTATACAGTAGTCCCCCTTATTGGTGGAGTATATATTCTAAGACTTCCAGTGGATAGTACCAAATTCTATATATGGTATGATAAAGTTTAATTTATAAATTAGACACAGTAAGAGATTAACAACAATAACTAATAATAAAATAGAAGTTATAATAATATACTCTAATTACAGTTATGTGAATGTGGCGCCTCTCTCTCTCTCTCTCCCTCTCTCTCTCTCTCTCTCTCATGCAGTATTTTATAATACTGTACTCTTCCTTCTTCTTGTGATGATGTGAGATGATAAAATGCCTACATGATGAAGTGAGGTAAATGAGACATTATTAAATAAGGGTTACTTGAACTCAAGCATTGTGATACCATGACAATCAATCATATAACCTGGACGGCTACTAAATGACTAATGGGCAGGTAGCATGTACAGCGTGGATACACTGGACAAAGAGATGATTCATGTCCAGGATGGAATGGAGCAGGCGAGTGAGAGATTTCATCACACTACTCTGAATGGCGCACGATTTAAAACACATGAATTATTTCTGGAATTCCCACTTAATAAATTCAGATCACAGTTGACCACGGGTAACAAACTGTGGAAAGCGAAACCTTGGAAAAGAAGGGACTGCTATATTTGGTTTATTATTGGGGCAGTAAGTAGAGTTTTTGTTTTATTTTACTCCTTTATATCCCCCTGTTCCCCTTTGTTTTATATTTCCTTTTTTGAAACTATATTTTTATTGATTTTGGAGAGGAAGGGAGAGGGAGATAGAAATATCAATGATGTGAGAGAATCATTGATCAGCTGCCTCCTACACCCCCCACACTGGGGATCAAGCCTGTAACGCAGGCATGTGCCCTGACTTCGAATTGAACCCTGACCTCCTGATTCATAGGTCGATGCTCAACCACCAAGCCACAGCAGCTGGGCTTTTTAAAAAAAATTTTTTTTAAATCCTTACTCAAGGACATGGTTCTTCATTGATTTTAAAGGGAGAAGAAGGGAGAGGGAGTGAGAAACAGCAATTGGTTGCCTCCCATACGCACTGGGACTGGGGATTAAACCACAACCTTGGGTATGTGCCTTGATCAGGAATTGAACCTGAAACCTTTTTGGTGTATGGGATGACGCTCCAACCAACTGAGCCCTGTACTGACTAGGGGTTGTACAACTTCTTATACTACTCTGTAGCTAATAACTCTTTTTTTAATTATTGATTTGAGAGAGAGAGAGAGAGAGAGAGAGAGAGAGGAAAAGAGAGAGATTTGTTGTTCCACTTATCCATGAATTCATTAGTTGCTTCTTGTATGTGCCCTGACTGGGGATGGAACCCACAACCTCAGTGTATCGGGATGATGCTCTACCAATGGAGCTCCCCGGCCAGGGCCTAGTAACTCTTTTTCTCTTGTGTTCCTATCATGAATTCATCTCCAATCTATTCTATCAATTTTAATTTTTCCTTGCGGGGGGAAGGGGGCAGGGGATCTCTCCTAGAGCTCTTCTCCTTTTGTTCCATTCTAGAATGGTTGCCATTTTCTAGTCCTCCTGCATAGCTATTTGTTGGAATAAAACTTAACCCTCATCTCGGGAATTCCTCTTTCCTAAGATGGATTCTCTGTAGATCCCACGTCCTCTTCCTCCCCAGTTCACTTAGTTTTGATGGTGTGTATCCTCCAGCTGTTTTCCGAGAAAGTGGGGCTAGAGGACAAACTTGTTTTAGTGTTAGATTTATTTGAGGTTTAACTTACAAACTGAAAAATTTGCCCTTTTCAGCTCTACAGTTCAATGAGTTCTGACACACATTCAGTCGTATAACCACCACCACAATAAAGATACAGAACATTTTCATCAGTCCAAAAGTTCCCTGTGTCCCTTTGTAGTCACTCCCCTCACTCATTTCCAGCCCTTGGACCACTGATCTGATTTCTGTCCCTTATAGATTTGCTTTTCCCAGAATGGCATATAAATGCACTCACAGTATTTATCCAGATAGCTTTTATATCTGGCTGTTTTCACTCAGCATAATACATTTTAGAGTCATCCATGTTACTGTATTTATAATTCTTTATCCATTCTTTATCTACAATTCCTTTATCACTATACTGGTTGATGGATATTTTGGGCTATTTTCAGTTTTGGGTGATTATGAATAAAGACCACATACAGGTATTTGCGTGGACATGTTTTCATTTCTCTTGGGTAAATACCTAGGGGTGAAACTGTTGAGTCCTATGTTAAGTGTATGTTTAACTTCTTAAGAAACTATCAAACTGTTTTCAAAGCAGATGCATCATTTTGCATTTCCACCAGCAATGTATGACAGTATCAGTTGCTTTGAATACTCACTAGGCCTTTTTTATCAATTTTTTTCATTTTAGCAATTCTAGTAGGTGTGGGGTTGGAGAGTAAATATATTGAGACTTGCAAATTTAAAAATATCCTTGGGTCTAGACTTATATCTAATTGGTAGTTTGCCTGGACCAAGAATTCTAGGTTAGACATTATTTTCTCTCAGAACGTTAAAGGCACTGTTCCATTGTCTTCTAGTTTCTACTGTTGCTAAGAAGTTTGATGCTATTTGGATTTCCAATCTTTGCATGTGACCTGTTTTGTCTCTCTTTTTTTAAAAAAAATATTTTATTGATTTTTCACAGAGAGGAAGGGAGAGGGATAGAGAGTTAGAAACATCGATGAGAGAGAAGCATCGATCAGCTGCCTCCTGCACACCCCCAACTGGGGCTGTGCCTGCAACCAGGGTACATGCCCTTGGGTGGAATCGAACCTGGGACCCTTCAGTCCGCAGGCCGACGCTCTATCCACTGAGCCAAACCAGTTAGGGCTTAAGAAGCTTTTTAGGATCTTCTGCTATATTCAGTATTTGAAATTTTTCATTTCTTATATTGGGTGCTCAGTGGGCCCTTTCACTCTAGAAAGTCATGTTCTTTGGCTCTGGGAATTTCCTTGTATTATATCTTAGATAATATCTTCCCTTTCATTTTCTTTATGTATTCTTTATAAGAAACCCCACTTGTTCACTGTGGGGCCACCTGGATTGATCTTACTTTTTTTCCTCTACTAAAAAAAATTTTGTTTTTGTTAATCCTCACTTGAGGACATTTTTTTCCCCATTGATTTTTTTTTAGAGAGAGTGGAAGGGAGTGGAAAAGAGAGAAAGAGAGAGAGAAACATCAGTGTGAGAGGGATACATCGATTGGTTGCCTCTTGCATGTGCCCTGATCAGAGCTGGGGATTGAACCTGCAACACAGGTATGTGCCCTTTGGGAATCAAACCCAAGACCTTCGGTGTGTGGGCTAACACTCTAACCACTGAACACCACCAGCCAGGGCTCTGCTACTTTTCATCTCTGTTCTACATGCTGGGCAATTTCATCAAATCTATGTTCCAATTATCTTGCTAGATTTTAAATTTCTTTTTTTGTTTTTGTTTTGTTAATCCTCACCCAAGAATACTTTTTCCATTGATTTTTTTTTTTTTAGAGAGGAGGAGGAGAGGGAGAGACAGAGAAAGAAAAATATCAATGAGTAAGAGACATATCAATTGGTTGCCTCCTGCACATGCCCTAATGGGGCCAGGGATAGAGCCTGCAATGGAGGTATGTGCCCTTGACCAGAATTGAACTTGTGACCCTTGGGTGTGTGAGCCAATGCTCTAACCACTCAGCAAAACCATCTAGGGCGACTTCCATTTTTTATTTTCCAAAAACTTTTATTTTTAAATATATTTTTATCAATTCCAGAGAGGAAGGAAGAGGAAGAGAGAGAGAGAAATATCAATGATGAGAAAGAATCATTGACCAGCTGCCTCCTGCATGCCCCCTACTGGGGATCGAGCCCACAACCCGGGCATGTGCCCTTGACCGGAATCAAACCTGGGACCCTTCAATCCGCAGGCCAACGCTTTATCCACTGAGCCAAACTGGCTAGGGCTTTCCAAAAACTTTTTATCTGAATTTTCCTTTTTTT